AAATGTATTCGTACATATACATACATAAAATACTTATCCATTTGACATATATAACATACAAACTAGTACATGTGCACATATAATACACATAAACATACTCCTCATAGACACTATATACTTTCTGTTTCTACTATTATAAAGTCCATACAGACATTTAGTAGGGCTGTAAAGGAGCTTCTTAGCTTCAAGTGAACTTTAGAAGATGAAAATCATTCTCTAGATTATGAAGAGTTAGATCACCTCACATAAACAGGTTTTGCACCCATAATCTGCTGCTGCTAATCCTCTTCCCACTTAACATCAATCTTTTAAAAAGAAAGGGTGGGGAGATCTGCCTCTCCCTGACAAAGAGACCTCATAGGAGGGCATGGTTGTGCTTGATGAGGTCACAAAAACCCTGGGGTCCTTAGGCTAGCCCTGAAGATCAGTACTGGGAACTGCCAGTAGTGATGACAGCCTGAATGCCCCCTCCTGACCTATAGCTGCCACCACAGGGGACTCCTGGAGATGGAGGGAAGCTGACTGAGGTGGGCAGGGCCAGGGTCCAGGCACTGCTGGGAACCAAGGCGAGACCCCCAGGAAGGACAGAGAAACTACAGAATCCTATTCTGCTTCTGCAGTCAGACCCTTGGCAAATTGCAGAATGTGACATCCACTGATGCTCTGAACTGTGGGTTCATATTTTCGTAAGGGCCTTGTTCTGATTCCTTTCTTCAGGTGAGGGTAACAGGGAGACCCGAATTCAGTTAGGGGGACAAGAGGATGAGCTGTGGTGTTGTAAGGAAGCCCCAGCCCAAAGAGTTTCCCCAAATATCCAGGTCTCCCTCCCTTGTCAGCCCCACACCCTCAGAAGGATTTTCAAGGGGACTTCTTTGCACTTAGAAGACCTTGGGAGTTAGAGCCTTGATCTGAGGGGAACAGAAGCAGGTCCATAGAGGACGGGTTTCCGCACTTTGGCAGGAACCTAGGTGATGACCCCTGAGGAGGAAGGAGTGAACACCAACAATCGCATTCCACTCCTTCGGTCAGCCCTGGGAGACCCCAGGCATGTTGCTGGTTGTGACCTCCACTGACCGGACCTCATGGGGTCAGAGTGGGGCGAGGTCTCTTCTGAGTTCCTGGCTTCAAGTGAGGGGAGCAGGGGAGGCTTGGCCCAGGAGACACTTGAGGGGCTGTGGGGAGTAAGGAATCCTCATCCTAGAGAGAGAGTCCCTAACCAATCCAGACTTACCAATGTTTCAGCCCTGTACCACTGAGAGGAAGTCTCTTGTCAGGACCCCTTTGTCCTCAGGGGATCCCAAGTACAGAGTTTGAGACTTCTTTTGAGGCCCACGTTTCAGTCAGGAAAGGACTTGGGATCAGATAGGTCAAGGTGAGGGCTGAAGGAGGACTAAGGAAGCTTGGCCTCAGAGAGAGGGCCCCAGAACATTCTAGAAAAGCCTCTGCTGCTGTCCTGCACCTCAAGGTGAGAAGTCAGATATGTATTTAGTAAGTACTTTCTCCAAGACTATGGCTTGCATTTTCATTATTTTAACAGTGTCTTTTATAGGGAATTATATAAAACCCATATAAATATAATTTAAAATTATATAAAACCCAATTCCATATAATTCTCTTTTTAAAATCATGTTCTTGGTTGTATCTAAAAACAATTTGGCCTATCCTGAAGTTACACAGAACTTTTCCTATGCTTTCATTGAGAATTTTATAGTTTCATGTTTTTCATTTAGATCTTTGATCCACTTTGAGATAATTTATATATATGATTTGAGATACCCTGGAGCTGAAAGTGTAGCTCAGTGGTAGTGAGTTCAATACCCAGCACTACAAAAGAAAAATAAAGAATGTTAGCATAAATAAAGATTTTTTATTTTTCTTGGATTGCATTTTTTATATTTATGTATATGGATGTGCAATTATTTAAGTTTCATTTATTGAAAAGTTTACAGTTTCTCAATTAATTGCCATTGAAACTTTGCAAAAAATCAATTGGTCATAGTTGTTGAGGTCTATTTCCAGGTCTCTGTTCTTTTTTTATTCATCTATCTGTGTACCTGTCTGTTCACCATAATCACACTGTCTTGCTTTGGTTTGCTATCATTTTATGTGAAGTCTTAGGAGCAGAGTCAGTCCTCCAGTTTCATTCTTTACCAAAGTTTTCTTTCAATTTTATCATAAATTCCTTTCAGAATCATTTTATTGATATGTACAAAAATCCTGCTGTGTACCTGGGGGTAGGGGGTGGCTCATGCCTGTAATCCCTAGGTGGCTGGCTGAAGCAGGAGGATTGCAAGTTTTAGCCCTGGCTGGGAAACTTAGTGACATAAAAAGAACCTGTTACAAAAGAAAATATAAAAAATGGGCTGTGGATGTATCTCAGTGTGAAGTCCCTAGGTTTAATCCCCACTATGCCAAAGTAAATACCTACGTAAAAAAGCAAACCTGCCATGATTTTGATGGAACTATATCCATAGATCAATATGTAGAGAATTGGTATCATAATGATAGTGAGTCTTCCAATTCATAACCATGCTGTGTCTTTCCATCATTTAGGTCTTCTTTTATTTTCATCAGCATCATTTTGTAGTTGTCAGGATACAAAACCTGCAAATAATTTGTTAGGTTTATATGCTAGTGTTTAGAGGGTACTGTAAATGATGCTGTTTTTTATATTATACAAAGTGAAATCAACTGGTAACAAAATAGACATGGAATGATTCACTTACATGCAGTTTCATAAACAGTCAAACTCATAGAAGCAGAGAATACAGTGATGGTGGTCAGGATCTAAGAAGAGAAGGAAATGGGGCAATTTTTGCTCAATTCATGTAACCTTTCAATGAAGAGGATAAACCTCATGCTATGGATTCTTCCCAAGTTAAATATCAAGATAAAATGGAGTGTAAGTGAAGGACCCTAGTTAGCAAGACAGACTCCATATTGCTGCTTGACCCACCTGCCTGCCCTTTAGATGAACTCAGAAGGAGGAAGCTTAGAAACCTCCTCCCCTTAGAAAGTCTCTTTAGAAATAACAATGAATCAACCATTGTTTTACAAATGTTCTAACAGCAGGACGTTCTGCTTCTGTACCTTTTGCTTGCTTTGCTAGTTCTATTCCATAGGGGGGCCTAGAAACTGCTGGTCTCAAAGGTGTATAAAACATGTTTGTCAACCCCCAGTCAGGGCTCGAGTCCGATGCTTGGCTCCGGTCCCGGCTGGTAATAAACTCCTGTGTGGATTTAATATCGATCTCTGGTTGGTTCTCTCTCACTGGGTGTAACAGTAAGAAAACTTTTGAATATGATAACATATGTTTGTTAAATTATGATGGTTGTATGTGTGTAGATATATCCAAACTCACCTAATGGTGTACATTAAACATTTACAGTTTTTGAACAAAATTACACTTCAATGAAAGTGCTAAAATGTCAGTTTCCAAATATTAATTGCCTAATATGTAGAAATACAAATAATTTTGAGGCCTGGTATTGAAATCATATACCATGTCTATGAATTTTTTGCTGACCACATTAAAGAACTATTTTAGCCTTCACTGGATTTTTACTTAGTGATTCTCTCCTGAGAAAGTTGAGGTTTTTTCTTCCTTTTCAATGTGTGTTAAGCAAGATTGCTGAAAACAAATATACTTGCTTTGTTCTCAACCTAGAAGGAAAACATTCCCTTTCACTTTTAAGTACGGTACTAGCCTTAGGATTTTAACAGGTGCTCTTCATTAGGGAATGAGAATTACCTTTTATTCCTGGTGTGTAGAGATTTTTTAAAAACATGAATGATATCGGCTTTTATCTAATGCTTTCCCTATAGCAATTGATATGATTTTGTGGTTTCCTTATTTACTCTGAAATACTGAGTGATTTTTTAAAATGTTGAATCAGCCTTGCTATTTTAGGATGAATTCATGTGATCACAATATATTATTTTTAATCTGGTTGGATTGAATATGATAACATCTTGGTGAGAACTTTACCATTACATTCACACTGGATAGTGGTCTGTAGCTTATTGTATTGCCTTTGTCCAGTTTTTGGAAATAAAATTAAGGCTGACCTCATAAAATGAATTTAGAAGTGTTTTCACATCTTCAGTTCTTGTTTTGAGTTCCTGGCTTCATGGGGGAGGAGCAGAGAGGACTTGGGCTGACTACTGAGGGAGAACTGAGGAAGCGAAATCCCAGAAAGAGGGCCCTACATTATTCTAGAAAAGATTCTGTTGTCTGCTCTGTGCTGCACTTGTGGTAGAAAATTCTCAGGTGAGAGCCCCCTTTGTCCTCCCTGGGACGTGAGAGATATGAGAGGCTCAATCTGAAGACTGAACTTCCGGGGAGAGGAAGAAAGAGCCTAGGATCACTTAGGCCCAAGTGTGGGGGGAGGTGGTGAGTGGTTCTGAGGAATTCCCATCACAGTGAGATCTCAGAACGTTCTCCAAGGCCTGTTTTGTCTGCCCTGTACCACTCAGTGTCAGATTATCAGAAGACCACCCCCTTTATCCTCACTGGGAACTGGGATCATTTGTGTAAAGACTTTACTTCAGGTGGGAGGAGCAAAAAGCCTGTGGTCAGTTAGGTCAAGGGAGGATTGAGGGCAGAGTGAGAAATCACCACCTGAGAGCGTGAACTCCCATAATAACCAAGACCTGCATTTGTTGTTAGCCTTGCACCGGGCGAAAATTCTCAGAAGAGCACCCCTTTTATCTCTGGCCACCAGGTGAAGGGAGTCAGAACCTAGTTCTAAGGACTATGCTTCAGGTCTAGAGAACAGAGAGGGTTTGACTTAGTTAATTCAAAGTGAGAGTCTAGGGGGACACTGCTAAAGACTCATCTCAAATGGAGTTTCCTGAACTAATCGAGATTTACCTCTGCTGCAGGCCATGCACTGCACAGGTGCAGATTCTTAGGTATGAGCCCCTTGACCAAGTGTGTCACAGGTGACCCTGGGAGTAGAAGCCTTGTTGGGAGGTATGCATTTCAGGTGGGCTGAGAAGATAAGAACCGAGCTTGGTTAAGTTCAGTGGCTGAGGGTGAGAGAGAAGGCCACATTCCAGGTTGAGACTGAAAATAACCCATTCATGCCTCTGTTGCTAGCCTTGCACTGTGCAGTGGAGAATTCTCAGGTGAGCACCCCCTTTTGCCCCAGGGTACCCCTGGAATTTGGAGCCTAGTTTTGAGGTCCCTGCTTGAAGTGGGAGTAGGAGAGAAGACCTGGGCTCAGCTAAGTCAAGTCGAGGGCTGTGGGAGAACTGTGGCAGCCCTAAGCGGTTCCCAGGTGATACGTACCTGCCTGTGTTGTCAGCCTGTCCCTGGGACACTCTTGCCAGGGCACTCCACTCCCACTTCCCATGCCCACGATGACCTTTCTGCCTTAGAAATCTGAGTGTCAGACACTTTGTTCAAAGGGGGGCACAGTGGGGCAGACATAGGTCAGGGGGTCCTGGCTTTGAGAGAGACCAAGGTGAAGTCTGAGGGAGGACAGAGGGGCTAGGAGAAAATCCTTTTAGAACTTCCTGTCAGCCCTGTGAAGGTATGTGTGGGACAAGCACTGCCTTCTGCTTCTGGCGTCAGAGAGGGGGGAGGGCTTTGTCCTTCCTGTGATGATAGCAGAGAGAACCTGTTCCCACTCCAGGTGAGGTCCTGAAGGTGTGAGGAAACCCCAGTTCAGCAAGACTCTGTGAACAATCCATCTCTGTTGTTGGTCCTGGACCCCACAGGGGCTGGTTTGTAAGAATGAGTCCTCTCCATCCTTTAGCCTTGATGTCACAAGGCACACTCAGTAAACAGGTATGGGGTTCAGACTGTCTGGAACCAGGGTCAGGCACCAGAGGGAGGAATGAGGGCACCCACCCCACCCCACTAGAAAAGCTCCATGAGAGCTCCATGCACTGTACATGTTTGGAGTACATAATGATCACATTCCTTGTAGGGACTTGGTAGATGTGCAGACTTCACAATTTCCCCTTTTTTCCTGATGTTCCTCCACTCTTTCCTCAATACCTGAATCTCTTGGTTCCCTCTCATATGCTAAATATATCTCTCAGTATTTACTCTTGTCTACATTTTCTTTTGTTCTTTTTATATTTTGGCTTTTTCATATAAGAGAAACCATGCAATATTTAAGATTGTGTGTCTGATTTACATTAACATTATGACCTTGAGCTGTATACATTTTTATACAAATGACTCATTTTTATCCTTATTTATTTGACAGTAGTAATCCATTTTGTATATGTACCACATTTTCTTTATCAATTTGCTGATGGATATATAGGCTCTTTGGAAGATTTAGTTATTGTGAAACTTGCAGCTATAAACATGGGTATGTATCACTGTATTTTGATGTCTTTTTCACAGCAAAAATCCTAGAAGAGAAATACCTCAGTTGAACTTTATTTCTAGTTTTCTAAATAATCTCCAGTGGTTGTACCTGTCTACACTCTCTCTCCAACAAAGAAGGGAGTATTCTTTTATCCCTTGCAACCTCACAAGCATTTTTTATCATTTGATTTCATGAGGAGATCCATTCTTTCTGGGGTGAGATTAAATCTTTTAATTGGCATTTATCAAATGGCCAGCAATGTTGAACATTTTTTATGTATGCATTAGCCATATGTACTTTTTCATATGAGAAGTTTCATTCTGTTCAGAAATCCATTTCTTAATTGGGTCTTTATTTGAGACAAGTTTTGAGTTTTTGTATATTCTAGATTCTCACCCATTGTCTGAGGAATAGCTGTCAATTCTTTCCTCATTCTGTAGATCATCTCTTCACCATGTTCTTGTTTCCTTTGCTGTGTAGATAATTTTTAATTTGATTTGATGCCATTTGTTGATTCTTGGTATTCTTGTGTACCTGGATTTCTGTATATAAAGACCTTGACTAAGCCTGTGTCTGCCTGTTTTACCTACTTTGTCTTTCAGCAGATTGTTTATTTTAATATTTAGATCTTTGATGCATTTTGATTTTACTTTAGTGCGTGGTGAGCAATGTGGCTCTAGGTTCAATCTTCAGCATGTGGATAGCCAGTTTTTCCAGCACCATTTGTCAAAGTGGTGGTCTTTCCTCCAGCAAAAGGATTTGTCCCCTTGTTAAAGATAAGGTAGCTGAGGTTGCTTGGTGTTGTATCTGTAACCTGAGTTCTGTTCCACTGTTCAACTCATCCAGAAGTATGGTTTTCCTAGTAACATGATGGTTCTATTATTGTAGCCTTGTACTTTAATGTGAGATCTGGGATTGTGATGCTTCTTGCCTTGAGCTTGTGCCCTAGGATTGCTTTTGTTTTAGGGCCTCCTCTGGTTCCATATGAATTTTTAGGATTATTTTCAATAGTAAAAAATGCTATTCGTATTTGGATTGAGATTGCATTATATTTGTGTTAATAATTTTGAAAGTATGACCACTTTGACTATATTCATTCTTCCTATCCAGCAACAGGGAAGGTTTCTATTTTCTGGTATTCTCTTCAATCTCCTTTCTCAGATTAGTGTTGTTTCATTGTAGAGATCTTTCTCTTCCTTGGTTAGATTAATTCCTAAGTATTTTATTTTCCTTGATGCTATTGTGAAAGGTATTTTTCCTTCATTTCTTTTTTGGTGAGTTTATTACTGACGTATAGGAATGCAATTGATTTTTAAATGTTGACTTTGTAAACTTGTAGGCTACTGAATTTGATTATTCTAGCAGACTCAGTGGACTTTCTGGGGTGTTTTATGTAGAGATCATGTTATTTTCAAATAATGATAATTTAATTCTTCATTTCCTACACATATGTCTTAATTTCTTTCTCTTTCCTGATTTCACCAATGTGTTGTGAATTTCATTTAACAGGAATTGTGACAGCAGTATCCTTGTCTTTTTTCTGATTTTAGAGGGAAAGCTTTCTGCTTCTCCCTATTTAATATGAATTTGGCTATTGGCTTGTCTTAGGTGGCTTTCACGGAATTGAGATGAGGTTGTTCTATATTTTCTTCAGGATGCTCATTGTGAATGGATATTAGATTTTATCAAATATTTGTTCTGTGTCTATTGAGATGATCATCTATTTTTAATCTTCTGTTATGCATTGTATTATATTTTTATTTGGGCTTATTGAACTATCCCTGCATCTGTGAATGAATTCTACTTCACTTTGATGTATGATCTTTTTGATTTGTTGCATTTTGTTTGCCAGAATCTTACTGAGGATTGTGCATGTATGCTCCTCACAGTGATTGCCCTGTAGATTTCTTTTCTGGTTGGATTCCTGTGATTTTGGGATCAGGGTAATACTTACTTCCTGGAATGACTTTGAGAAATTAGCTTCTCCCTCAATTTCACTAAGGAGTTTTCTTAATATTGACATTAGATTTTCTCTAAAGTTCTTGTAGATTTTGGCAGTGAATCTCTTGGAACCTGGGCTTTGTTATTTTCCTAAATAAATTCTTCAAATTCATTGACTGATATTGCATTGTACACAACTTGTATACCTTGTTTCAGCTTTGGGTGTTCATATATAGGAATTTATGCATTTCTTCTCTATTTGATTAAGTTCTTAAAGTAATTATGAATGATCTTCAGTATTATGGAAGAGTCCATTGTGATTTTGCCTTCAACTTTCTAATTGCTTGGATTTGGGTCTATTTTTCCCCCGGGTTTTGTTAGAATGTTAGGGCTTTGACAATTTTATTTCAATGAAAAAACTATTCAATTTATTCATTATTTGTAATTTTTTAGTCTCTTCAAGGGCTGGAATAGTCAATGCCTAGGTTTTCAAATCCAGAGAAACTCAGGCTGGGTCTGATCTCTGGCTACCAGGGCAAAGCCTGTGCCCTTCCTAGTTGAGTTCAAAACCCCCAGGGCTTTTGGTACTAGTCTGCTCCCTGTACACAGCTATTTCCTGAGAATGTGTTCCTCACCCAGTCACTGTGGAAGGGTAACACTGGGAACTCTGAAGTGAAGTTGTCTCATGGCTGTTCTGAGTCCCAGGTTCAAACATTCACCTCTTTCCTGGAATGGAACCCAAGCCCATGCACTCTCCAAAAATATGGTGGACACCTGCACAGGGTTCAGTCCCCTGGTGTTTCTTGTGTAAGGACTCTGTGGTAGCAGAACCCCACACTGTCCCTACAGGTCACAGCAACCTCCACTCCATTGAACCACTGCCTTTTTTCCTTGGGGCCTCCTGAAGTCCCCAGGTTTCATTCTGATTCTACACATTCAACCCCATTCCCACAGCCCAGAAGTGAGGGAAAAATTTCAGACTGATTTGTTTCCTTCTCCACAACGTAGTCTGTTTCTTCAATGTCTCTGTAGCTTTTTATTAGTACATGTTTGCTGTACATAATAATCACATTCATCATGGGGGATTTTTACGTGTACATAGTGCACCTTGATTCTTTTTTCCCATTCCTATCCCCATTTACAAAAGCTCTACTTCCATTTTTCTCTTCAATTCTGTTTCCTTTAAAATCCTTTCCCCTTCCCTTTCCTTACCACTTCCACCACCTCTTCGTTCCCCCCCCCCTTTTTTTGAATAAGTTCTTCCTACTTTCTTATATTTATCCTCAATTTTGCTCCTTATTTATACTTTGGGTGTCTTCTAGAAGAGAATGCCATATCTGAACTTGTGTTTCTGATTTTTTTTCACTTAAAAATATGGTCTCAAGGTGCATTCATTTAAGTAAATGTGTCTCAATTTTACTGTTTATGGCAGTGTAGTCCTCCAGTCTAAATAAAGATCACATTTTCTTTCCTGTGTTGATGGCACATGGACTGTTTATAGGAGTACAGTTTATAGTATATAAATCTTAGAAGTCTTTCTTTTTTTAACTCTTTTAGTAGTACATATTTGTCACACATATTGATCATATTCATCATAGGGAATTTGTGCTTGTACATAATATATTTAATTCTTTTTCCCCCATTGCCTCCCCTCACTTCAACACTTCTTCCCCTCCCCATGTACAAAAGCTTTGTTTTCATTTTTATCCTTCTATTTTCTTCTGTTTCCCTTCTTGCTTGCTCCTCCAGTTGAACAATAACTATCTTTCATTATGCCTCTTACTTACCCTTGGGGTTTCTCACACGAGCGATAAACTTGTGGGTCTAAATTTATTTTACTTAAGATTAAGGTCTCAAGGTGCATTCACTTTCCTACAAATGACTCAAGTTTGTCCATCTTTATGGCAGAGTAGTACTCTATTGTATATAAATACAACATTTTCTTTATCCATTCATCTATTGATGGGGATATAGGCTGTTTCCAAGACTTAGCTATTATAAATTTTGCTGCTATAAACACAAGTATGTATATACCACTGTGGTATGATGCTTTTAACTCTTTCAGGAAGATACCTAGAAGGGGAACAGCTGGGTCAAATGTAACCTCTAATTTTAGTTTTTTCATTTCCATAGTGGCTGTACCAGTTTACATTCCCACCAGTACTGCAGAAGGATTCCTTTTGCCTACATCCTCACCAACATTTTAATTGGTTGATTTCTTGATGGTAGTCCTTCTTTCTAAAGTGAGATGGAATTTCAATGTTATTTTATTTATCATTTCTCCAATGACCAATGATATTGAGCATTTTTATATATTTATTTGTTGTTTGTGTTTCTTCATCTGATAAATGTCTATTTCAGATGCTCATTTTTGGATTGAGTTTTTAAAATTGGGAGGTCTGACTTTTTAAAAAGTTAATTATATATTCTAGATGTTAGTCTTTTGTCTGAGGAATAGCTGATAATTTTTTTTTCTCATTCTGCGAATTGTCTCTGCACTCTGTTGGTTTCTTTTGCTGTTCAAAACTATTTTTTTATTTGATGTGATCTCAGCTGTTGATTCTTTGTAATATTTCCTGTATGATTGGTTTTCTGTTCATAAAGTGTTTGCCTACACATATATCTTCTAGGGTTTGACCTATTCTATCTTCCAGCAGATTGTTTCTTTCTATACTTACACCTTTCATCTATTTCAATTTTAATTTAGTAAATGGTGAGAGATATGTATCTAGGTTCAATTTTTTTTTTTTGGCACGTGGAAAGCCAGATTTCCCAGCACCATTTATTAAAGAGGCTATCATTCTCACAGTGAAGGTGTTTGACCCCTCTTTCAAAGATAAGGTAGCTGACTGTAGTTCTCTTCTGGTTCCATAGGAATTTTAGGATTGTTTTCTCCAGTACTGTAAGATATGCTATTGGTATTTTGATTGGGTTTACATTAAATCTGTATAGGAGTTTTTGAAGTGTGGCCATTTTCACAATATTTGTTCTGCCTATTCAAGAACAAGGGATATCTTTCCATTTTCTGATATCTTCTTCAATCCTCCTTTTTCAGAGTGCTGTAATTTTCAATGTATAGGTCTTTTGCTTCCTTTGTTAGGTTGATTCCTAAGTATTTCATTTTTCTTCATGCTATTATAAAAGGTGTAGTTCTCTCAATTTCTGAGTTGGCTCTTTGTGCAGAGGAATGCTTATTGACGTTTGAGTGTTGACTTTCCTGCCAGGCTGCTGTTTGGTTAAGAATATGAATTCTAGGAGTGTTTGGTTGAATTTGGGGGGTCTTATATGTAGAGTATCATGTCATAGCAAATAATAACTTCTTTTATCTATATGCCTTTTATTTCTTTCTCTTTAATTGCTCTTCCTAACACTTACAGAACTCTGTAGTTTTAAAATTTCATGTAGGATTCAGGATGGGTATCTGTTTCATTTTATTTCTTTTGTTCTCTCTTCCTCAGTTGTGATTTTTCAAAATCTGGCTTTGAATTCTTGGAGCAGCTGAATTGCTATTGCTCAGCACTCTATTTTCCAGCACTGGAGATTTGAAGGTAATGTACACCCATAAACAAAGGGACCCCATAGAGCCTGGTTTCCCCTGTTGTCAGCCTTAAGTCCCTGGTGAGAGTGGCTATATATAAACTGCTCACAATACTAGTGAATGGTTGCAGGTGGTAAAACTCACAGTGGTCAGGAACTTCTTCCAGGAGGTGACCAGAAGTTAGGAGAAAGAGCTACATAAAGTTAGTAAATGTAGGACCCCAGTATTTAACAGACCCAAGAGATGTACCCCCTGAGGACTGAGGGTGTCTGCAGGCCAGAAAATAGATCCCACAGAGTCTGCCTGTTTCTTGGGTCAGCCCTGAGTGGCTGTAATTGCCATGTTCACTTCTACCATGGGCATGCAAGATGAGATATAGGTCTCCAATGGAGAAATCAGCTCATCTCCAGAGGCCTAGGGTTGAGGGAGTGCAGGCATAGACAGGAGGAAGATGGAGCAACTACAGAATCACATAGAGTTTATCTTATGTTCACATTGTTGAGACACAATGCCTTCCATCAGTTTAATAGAAGAAAGTTGATTTGAGCTCAGAATTTGTAGTTTTCAGTCCATAGTCAGCCGGCTCCAAGCTAGCACAGCAGACTGGAAGGGCCTAGGGAGGGGAAAGCTGTTTACCACAAGTCCTGCAGGGAGCAGAGAGTGAAAGAAAGAGCTAGGAAGTAAGATGTAACCTACCTTGTCACACTCACAGTGACGCTCCTCTTCCTCAAAAGCCCAGCCTCCTAACCGTATATCAGCTGTAAACCTTCATAATGCATTCATCTAAAAGTCCTGCCCATGATCCCATGAGCACACTCTGCTGAGATCTGGACTTACATAACAGGGCTCTGCATCACAGGAGAGATGGGCACAGTCCTCAAATTCAATTCAGCAATGATATCCCCATGTAGGAGTGATGGCTAGGTGCTTGCTCACTTCTCTTGAGAATCCTGAGAATCTCAAGGAAGTGAGGGACTTGATCTGAGATGGTGTCTGCAGGTTTGCACAGGGAACTCCCTCTGGTCAGGAAACTTACATTTCCCTTATCTGCCAAGAATCAAGGCAAAGACTCTAAGGAATAATTTAGGGTATTCCTGACCTGAACTCAGACAGGTGTGTGGTTCTTTGACATGGGACTTGTGCTTGGTGTCATCTGTTAGGCTGAGGCTGCTCACTTAACCTCAGTGAGCTAAAGACCTTTCTTTGTACAAAAGGGCTGGAATTGGGATGGCAGAAGTAGGTTCTCAGTGTCTATCAAGGGTCTAGATGAGGCAGAAGAAACCCACTCACCTGAACACACACTAACCTAGCATCAACCTATCCATTTTATCACCTGTAGTCAGGCCCAGGGAACATAGGTGGACTTGCTTTTCCCTACTTCCTGCTTGAGTGTCTCACAGCCATATGGCTCTGGTTTAAAGATGGCCCCAAGTCATTGCAGCAAGAGTCCTAGACCTAACCGTTTATCAAGATAAAGATGGAACAGGTTCCCTTTCTTAGGGCGCATGGACCCCACAGAATTTTTCCACCTCTAGCTGTTGCCACCAGGCAGCTGCAGTATGTGTACTCCCCCTTACAAAATTTTGGTCCCTCTCAGGAAGAGACACATTTTCTGAGTTTGCTTCTGGCCAGCAAGTGTTCTGAGCTAGGGTCTAGGCCCTGCTCAAGGACAGTTTGGGGCCAGGAGTGAGCAGAGGGGAACCTCCACCCAGAACAGTGAGGATCTCATGGAGTCCAGCCCACCCTTTCTGTGCAGGCTGGAGGACAAGGACTGTGCTTTACATCTGCAGCCTGGGGCCTTGCATGCCTTTTACTGGAGCTTCAGGAACCAAGCAGTGAAGGTCTTAGTGTGAGGCAGTGTCCTCGGGTCACACAACAAAGGAGGCCCAGGAGTTGATTTGAAGTGCAGGCCCTGTTGTGTACCTAGGGCATCTCTTGTCCCACAGCAAGGACACCTCATAGTCCCCAGGCTCTACATGCCATACTGTCTTTCCCAGAGCCTGTCCTCTGCAGTTCAACTGCAGCCAGAGGAGCAGCCTCACTTCATATCCCAGGGTCATAGGGACAGGTCTTGCAGGAGGACAAGAACCTGTGAAGCCCTAGAGCATCCCACAAAGAAAAAACCTATATGGGCCATTGTGGGCCATTGTGGGAGGCAACAAGCTTGTTATCCTCAGCTGAGAACACTGATAGTCTCCCTTTCTCCTCCAGGCTTCTGATCCTCAACAAGTTCTTGCTGTCCTCATGGCTTCCAGTCAAAGTCAATCCTGTGAGGGTTCAAGCTCCTCACAGGATGCACACTGCACTCACATCCTGCAAAATGTGCTCCTAAATGCCAAGTTATGTAAGTTGGTGCCTCTTCTGCTCCACAAGTATCAAAAGAAGGAGCAGGTCACCATGAAAGAAATGCTGCATGTTCTCCCCCAGGATTACCATAAAGACTTCCCTCTGAACTTTTGGGAAATCTGTGAGTCCATGTATCTGGGCTTTGGCATTAAAGTCAGGAAAGTGAATTACCCTGGAGATACATATGAGCTACTCTCCATTTTGGGTCTTACATACAGTGGGATACTAGATGGCAATAGTGAAAGAATCATTCTCAAAATCGACATAATTATATTCATCCTGTCTCTAATCTTCATAGAGGGCAACCGTATCAGTCAGGAGGACCTAACTGAAAAAGTGAAAAGATGGGACATGTTAGCTCAGTCTGAGCGTATTCATTTTGAGGAAGCCTGGAAATTCATCACTGAGGATTTAGTACGGGAAGAGTACCTGATGTACCGGCAGATTCCTAACAGTGATCCTGCTCGCTATGAGTTCCTGTGGGGTCCAAGGACCCACGCTGAAACCAGCAAGATGAAACTCCTAGTTCATATGGCCCATCTTAATGGAACAGAACCCAAATCTTACCCAGAACTATATGAAGAGGCTGTGGAAGCAGAACTAGGTATACAGCCAGGGTTCCTGAGAAACAGGGAATGTTGCCCAAATGTGTCAGTGAATTTGTTCTCCCCTGAGAAGAAATGAGGCCCATTTTCAGTCTCTGTGGAGAGCAGGCAGTTTTCTAAGTAGTGAAGGGCCAGGGGAGGGGTAAAGTAGCACGCATAGTATCTTGCTGTCTCTTCTACTTGGGTCACTTGGAAATGGACAGGGGTTTTCTTTATGGTTTTTTGAACTATTGGTCCTTTTGGGGGGAGACTGAAGTAGCTTGCATATTAAATGGTATTGATCTCCTGTGTACTTTTAGTTTTGTGATGTTTGTGTTTTCTGATGGGAATGTGATTCTCCCTGACATTGATCACAAACGGAGTGCCTTTTCCATTCAAATGTAACAGTCTTTTCTGTTTTATCATAAAAACAGAAAAACTAATTTATTTATGATAAAATGAGATTGGAATAGAAATTTCCTTGAAAATTGTACGTTTACATCAAGTTAGAGGGACCTTAGAAAAGGTGGTAAGGATGCAAATCAAATATTGGCTGCTGCTCATTTCTTTTCCCTTGTTGATCTACACTATTAAACTTATATTTGTTGCATACCTGAATATGCTTGTTTTCAGATTTGTTAAGAAAATTAACTGTCAAGAAATAAGCCCATCTGCTCATGGGCACACTGACCCCAAACCTTCATTGCGTGTGTGCCCTTTGGGAGGGAGGCCCTGTGTCTGTGGTGGAGACATGAGTAAACCAGACTGAGCAGGATCCAAGCTAGCCCATGGGGTGGTGGAGTCCAGGAGAACCACTGTTGGGAGATAGATTTAAGGACCTAAGGACATGAAAAAGAGCCCTGAGGGGGTGTGGAGTCTAGCAGAGAGCAGCCATGATGAGTGCTGAGCCAAGATGGTTTGGGGCTTTGGGTAAATGCAGTGCCTCCTGCAGGAGTTGTTAACTCAGCTGCATGGTGGCCAAGGACCAGACTTTCAGAGGAGGAGTCCTGGCCTAAAATAAAAGCCTCAGGGAATGGAAGACTTCTCTGCTCTATACAGCACCTTTAGATGACAGATGAAGCTGAGAGGAATCTTCACCTGGGACAGCTATGAGAAAAGTAGTCCTACACAGGGCAAAAATTAGGGGATTATGCCCAGCCTCTGCAAGGATTTCCTGAGAGGTAAGGGGGACTCTCAGGTGAAGTGAGGTCCTAACATCCCTGGTCAAGTGCTCTACTGTCTTCTGGGAGTGTCCAGCTGCAGGGGTGTTGCAGTGCCCAGTTGACTGGTTTTCCTGGGGGCAACTTCTCTTGAATCCAGTTTGCATCAACACTTTTATTTTTTTGGTACCGGGGCTCGAACTCAGGACCTTGCACTTACCAGGCAGGCGCGGTGCCACAGAGCTAGATCCCCGGCCATGCCTCAACACTCTTACAGGATGGGCATGAGCATCTGGCCAGTTATGCCAGTGGTCAGAGGACTGCCTGACCAAGTGGTTCTCCCTCTGGAGACCCTGCTCAGAGTACCTTCCCCCTGCCTTATACTGGTTCTCCACTGGGGCAGTTTGCAATGTTGCCCTTTGTGGAGGAAGTTGGTGCTAGGAATGTGAGGTGATGTCAGCTTGCCTGAAGTTTCTCAGAGCTGCATCTGTGCTCAGCTGGCCTTGTCACTAGAATGGCCTGGGCTTCAGTCCTCACTGTCACAGAGGCCTCATGAGCCCCAAGCCTAGACTCTTGGTGAAGGAGAGGCGATTGAAAATAGTTGTTCCAGTGGAGGGGAAGCTGGCAGGGATGGGATATTCTTCTAAATTCCAGGGGCTGTGAATTAATTGGTCCCCAGTATCTAATCAGGAAATCCATACTACTGTAGAGAATATAATGGGGGAACATTTACTGAGTAGCATATTTGTGTGGTTTTCTATTTAGTTTCCTAATGACCTAAAACTTCCCTGGGAAGCACAAATTTTCGAGAAAAACAGTGATGGTCTCTGAGCTTATGGTAATAGTAGAACCAGCTGCTTATCACCACTCATTCAATATGTGTCAAATTCTGCTAGGTGGTTTCATGTATTTGCTACATTTCACTGGTCCTACAAAGAAAAAAACATGCCAAGTCCATTTTATAGATGAAGAACCGGAGGCCTATTGGACTTGGGAGCTTCTCAGGATCCTTATGTGGTAAATGACAAGGCCAGGACTGGACTCCCAGTGTGAGGTCATCTAGAGGCCACCCTGTTCCCACTCCTCTCAAGTTGAAACCATCTCTGTTTCTGAATTTATTTCCCTACTTAGAAAAATTTAAAAAGAAATCTTTCAGGTTGTAGAAAGATCCTGAGTTAAAGGCACTGAACCCTGGCCTGAATTAAGAAAGTAAAATGAGAGGGTGATGGGTGCCCCCTACTCCCAGGGAAATGCCCAGAGTCACCTGCCCTTGCCACAGCATGTAGAAGGCCCTGGCTGTCACTTTGCTCACCATGGAAACCCTCCAATAGCAGCAGACCTTCTTGACATAAAAGTTAACTTTGGACTATGATGTGTAGACATTGGGTTATGTGCCTGAAGAACAAAATAACACTGTCAAACTTTCCCAAATGATAAATAATTTGACATGCAGCAGAATCTCCTTATCTTGCCAGGTAAATTTTGATACATTTTGAGACCATCTTGACATTTTTGTAAGCATTTAATGGAATGAGTTACTGAGAGAGGTTTCCATAACACGTGCAGGTGCGTGAGCTTATGTGGGTGGTCAAACCCAAAGCTCCCTGAGAAGCTGTAGGTGAGGCAGGACCATGCTCACCACAGTGGAGGAAAGAAAAACATCTGCCATGGCTGAATTCCTCTGACCCTGAAGTCCTCTGAGTAGGTGGCAAGTGGTTCTTCCTTGATATATTAAAATAAAAATAAAACACAGCTTCTCTGCTCTCTTTTGTGTGTCTGTGCCTGCAAGGAAATTTTAGTTTTCAATATGCCAAATAGCACTGGTCCTGATGTTTAGACAAGGACAATCATGTGTGCTATAGAAACAAGTCACAGTTAGCAGACTGGCCATGGATCCAAACAGGAGGAAATTCTCACTCTGCTAAGATCAGAGGTTATTGTGAGGGGAATTACTGACAAGTGCTGGTGAGCGAAGAACAAGAACCCCTCATGGAAATGAAATTGATACTTTAGCTGAAGCACCTGTGGCAAGTAAGTGGCTCTTGAAAAGGGTAGAAAATTTCTATGCCTATCTCACCTGCTCAAAACTCCTCCCAGAAAGAATTTTATCTGAACACATCATGTTTTTATTTGAGCCTCTACTATGTGAGCACTTATGCTGACATTACAGGTGCTCACCAACACACAGCTTATCTTCACTGATTTTTTGGGGGGGCAGTATTATATTCCACTTTTCCTTAGGAAGCGCCATTAGATGAAACTGCCACGGAAATACTAGTACACCCATTACGTATCCATTAGAGCCATTTCTATAGAAGATGCCAAAGGAGCTCTAGATCAATCCTGATGCCCTGGCCACACAGCACCCAGCCCTCTCTGTTTCCTCACCTAGGAGGCTCAGCCATGCATGTTTACTCCCTTTGACAGGAGCAAGCTGATTCTGTACCTTGAAGGTCCTAGGAAGGAGCCACCCTACAGATGCTGACTGCAGATTTTGCTTCATGCCGCCCTCACCCTTCAGGCTCCTGGGCACACCTGTCAATCCCAGCACACCCGTGATGTCCTCCCCAGTGTGAGGGCAGGTGGTGGCCAAAATCGCCCAAATACCTGTGCTGCCTGGGAGTTTCCTCCTCCTGCTGCTGTGCCCCATTGGCCACCCTCTCCTGCACCTGGCCTCAGCCTGCCCAGTTTGGAGCATTCTCCTCTCTGTGTCCCTACTCCCACTTGCTCAGCCCAAGACAACCTGGTGCTGATAGTAACATGTAAATGTCTCTACCTGAAGATCCCTGGTAAGAATTACGTTAGGAAGTTCTTTCTGTATGGAGGAGCTAAGCTGTATACCAAACAAATGTACAATGAACACATTTTTCCAGGTGAAACTTGTTAAGCAGGTTTAACTCAGATTTAAAGCTAAGCTGAGATCAGGCACTCCACAGCCAGGCAGCATTGGTATGAGCCTTGATTTGAACAGACACTTCCAAGTTCAGACTGCTCATTTCATATCCTTTGAGGAGTACCCCTAAGTAATGTGGTTGAGCATTTCCTCATGCCGCTTTCATGGGAAAGTATAGTGTCCAAATACTGCATGCCTTCTATTGCCATTGGCTCCTAAACTACAAGATTATGTACGCTACTGGCATTCCAGGGTGCCCTCAGTCTCAGCAAGAACCTCTGCTGATCTTGGTAATGGTACAAGCCACATCAGTTCGTACACATAGGAGCATTTTCTCACAGATTACCAAATAGAGGAAAGTACATATTTTGGCAAATTGAAAAAATTTATCTAGAATTTGGTCTGAGGAGATGAAAGGACCCATTTGTATCAATTTGTCATCTCACCTTGTACAAGCGGCTAAGGGCCTTACATAGTTAGGAACGGAGGGTCGGCAAGCATGGAGAGGTGATGCAGATCTCCACACCAGCCTCAGCACATCCAGCAGTCTTCAGCACATCTTCCTCTAAAGCAGGCTCCAGGCTCCTGGGGGTGGTGGCATCTGCCTATTCTGTCACTTCTTTTGCGCTGAGGAGAAGAGGCATTTCTTATAAACTCAGCAGAAAGAAGTTTGGATTAGTTGCTTATTTTTAAAAGGAAAACTCTAAATTTTATAGTTTCATTTTGCATTTCCACTCACAGTAGCTCATGGGGTGATGTAACAGAGACCTTCCTCCTTTAGGGTTCTCAGCCCCTGGTCTCCATGCCCATTCCAGGCTATGAAGAGAGACCTTGCCCATTTCCCACAGAAACCACGCAGGGTTTTTCCAAGACATATTCACGGGGACCAATGGTATGCCTCTCTCTTTGTAGTGTGTGAAGCGAACATGATAACCACTATGCTATGGAAACTCTCTTCCTAGTATGTAAGAGCATCACTGCTTGCTTTCTTTTTTAAAAAAATTATTTTATTGGTACATTTTAGGTATACAATATGTTTATATTTATCATTGGGTGCTTGTACCTGTACATGATGTATCTTGGTTCTTATTTTTTCCCCATTACCTGTGCGCCCTTCAGCCCCTCCACCCTTCTCTATTTACATAGATTTCGTTTCCATTTTTTTCTTTTCTCATAATTTTTCCTTTCCCTTCTTCCCTTTCCCCTTCCCCTCCTACCACCGTACAACTTTGGACCTTTTCCTGTTTCAAATTATCAATTATACGTTTTAATCATTTTAATCCTTATTTACACTTTTAGTTTCTCACACTAGAGAAACTATTCAGTATTTACACGTGTGCCCTATTTATTTCACTTGAGTATGGTGTCAATATGCATCCATTCAGCTAAAAATGTCTCTAGTTTCTCATTCTTTATGGCTGAGTAGTACTCCGTTTTAGAAAAAAACACATCTTCTTTATCCAGTTTCCAGTTGATGGGCACTTGGGGTGCTTCCAAGCTTTAGCTATTACAAACTGGGCCACTATAAACATGGGTGCACATATATTGCTGTGGTATGATTCTTT